CTATTGTATAGCGAAACACGTGTCGCGGTTTTTGTTAAACTCTTTATAGTGAAAATCATACATTAAACGGTATTAATGAGTTTTATTATGGAATTTCAACAAGTATCGGCCAGTACTATTCAATTAAAATATCTTATGTATTTATGATTTCTTTCGTTTTTTTCCTCGCAAGATTAATTACGATTTTTATTAAGTTATTTCTAATATGAAAGATCAAGAAAGGCATTGACGTTATTTTGTATAATTTAACCTGGAGCCTGGAATTTTTGCAAGTTGAAATTATTCAAAAAGTAAAGATTTCAATTTGCCAGCTTAACGTTGAAGCTAGAAGAACCCACTGATTCAAAAATAAAAAAGAGTGTGTGTGTGTGTGTGTGTACTTATGTACACACGTAAGAAGTTATACTTTTTTGGCGTAACAAGATGAAAATCTTTCTAAAAATTGTATCATTCGCGTTATCCCACGTTTATAAAAAAACGACACTGATAATAGAAAAAAAGGCATTTAATACAGTGAAAGTTTTTTTATAGGTTATGTTAGGTTAGGTCCAAAGTGAGTGGGTCTATTCGACCCTCCACCGCAACCCGCAAGGGATTATTGTGGCTCACACTTATTCACTCACGACCAAATAAACCCAGATGGTAAGAGTACGGCTCTGACAGTGACCTGTAAGAAGGCCTGTTAGACATCGTAGTCCATCCCTACTGAAGTCCAACAACTTTTTGGTATCAAGCTTCGAAGGGTGAATAAAAGCCTTGGAGTGCCAGAAGTCCATAAATCTTCTTGCCACCCAGGTGTTCAATCTTTGTTTGGCAAAGCCTCATTGCCTTCCAGGCCAGTATGGCCAGGAATCCAGGCCAGAGACAATCTGTTGAGTCTTTCTATCGAGGAGAGTCGTTTTTGGCAATTTGCTACCAATTTAGACGTTTTATGATCTTATGATGCACTGTTTGGAACCTTTGGTGTAGTAATGAATATTACTGGAGTTTTTTCTAACACCAAATCGTTATTTTCAACACCTCGACACGTGATCATATTCAAGAGGAAGATTAAATGTTTAATCTTCCTCTTGAAGATGATCACTTGGTGATCGAAACACGTGTTGTGCCGATAACTACCGACCTCAAAGATGGAACGTAGATGTTAAGTTTGAATAAATATTGAAGTGAAAGACATTTTAAGGGGTCTGGCGGCCCCCTACGCCAGTAATCAGGCTGGATGTCGACGGATTCGACGAGGTCGTCAGTGCGATAATATATGTGTTATTCGGGAAAGTCATATCGAGAGGTCTAGCGGCCCTCTACACCTGTAACCAGGCTGGATGTCGAAGGATTCGCCAAGGTCGTCAGTTTGATAATGGATGTGTTAATAATTTTATCCGAAGGTCTCCCATAAAGGGGGCAACCAGTAAAAAAAATTAAGTGATTTCATAAAAGAAAAAGTGAATGAGAAAACTTAGGATGACAGCATTGTTTCGAGCAAGAAAGCTGCGCCCCCTGACAAAGCTTCAATTCACTATGGACAGGAAAAGTTTGGCCAAATGCGCTCGACTGAGAAGCAACGGCCCTATGAATCAAAGAAGAAGCTAACTTCAGGGTGTCGGTTTTTCAAGACGGTGCCCGCCAAAAGAAGTGTAACTTCAAACATGGAATTTCGGCGATGGGGAGTCATAGGAGTCTGAAATATGACTAAAATCCTCAATATATTTCTTTCTCACCCATATTCCAAGAATATTTTCGAAAAATTATTTCCGGCTTTTATCACGTTTGTCTGAGTGAGATGAACACCCAAATATTCAATTTAAACAAGAGGTAAAAAAATGGTCAATATAAACGAAAGAGCCTAAAATTAGTGTTAAGTTCAAATTTCCCACAAAGTGGGGAATTAAAAAAAATAAAATAAAAACAACCTATAAAACCTCGACGCTATTGGGATAGGAGCCTAAAATTATGACGTATTCTGATCCAATGAAATGTTTTGTATGCCTAACGTTGAGTTAGCAGATATCTTCGTTAAATGAAAAGCAAAAAATTCGGGAACAGAGTACAAAGTTAGCCTGAATGTGAACTTTACAAATGCCACATTCCTTTACAGTCATCTAATAGTTGTTTGTAAAAACATGCAAACCATCCCTCATAACCGATTACATACATTTATTTGAATCTTTGAATAAGCGAAAGGGAAAACAAAAAAACTTAAAATTAGTGCAGCCATTTCAAGCAAAATATATTTATTATTAAATATGAACTGCAATTTCCACCATGAATAAATACTTTAATCTGTAACAATCATTAGACATATCATTCAGATAGGAAAACAAGTTTGCTATTCATGAGAAAAAACGTAAATATTATTTACAAAAAAAGTTGTTTGGTTTTATAGAAAACTTTATCGATAATCGCTGACAAGATTAGATATGAGATATGAAAATAACATTATTAATTTTCCAAACCTAACCTTATGCATTACCTCTTTTTCAGCCACTTAAACAAATTGACAATATAAACAAAACAGACGAAATTATTTTAAATAATAAGTAAAAAGTCAGTAGTTTTTAGTATTTTAATATATATGACTGAAGCAAAAAACGAAACTTGAGAAAATCCGATTAGACAAAAATTATTGTTTATAAAATCGCGAATGACCTTTCCAAGTGTATAGAAAAACCGTTGTTGTCTTTTTTTATTTNCTTAATTCACAACAGATATAGATGTCAGCCTCACAGTATAAGACCCAGAGGACGACTTTGATTTAAGAAACCTGATGTGGTCTTCAAATTTCAAATCACTGTCAATAGATAGTCCCAGAAATTTGGTTGATGGTTTATTCTCAACAAAGATGTTGTCAATTTGTAAATTGCTGATGGAACATTTGAAGCAAATTACGTTTGTTTTAGAGATACTCAAACTGAGAAGATTTGCGTCACACCATTTTTTTATATTACTATTATCATGATTTATTACTGTTTCAAATTCAGAGGGATTTTGATCATGCCATAAAATTATAGTGTCGTCAGCAAATAGTGTGAACTATTCTTTAATATCAATAGATGTCAGATCATTTATATACAAAAGAAATAATGGTGGACCTAGGACTGAGCCTTGTGGAACTCCACAGTTTATTTTTCAACAATTTGACTACGCTCAGATAAATAAGATCCTAAATAAGGTCCTTAGCCTCTTTTTCTGATGTCAACATCAGGTAATGAAAATTTTTCCAGAAATATATCACAGGATTTTTCTTTATATTTCAACACTAATTAGTGCATAGTATTATTATCCCACACTAGAGGAGGAAAATCTAATTTTGAACAAATATCACTGGGATCAATGATATTGGAAACACGTTAATGATAACTAAAAGTAGTTATATGACAAATCAATATATTTTACCCAATCAAAAAGATTAAAGTTTCAAACTTCATTAAAAATAAATTCACCCATATAGACATAGACATATTACTTTTAGCAAAAAGTTGAGAACATAAGTCTAACCGGTCTACAAAATGTAAAATCACTGATATAGTTTTAAACTATTGAAGAAAAATTATTGAGTGAATCGTTGACTATCCATAATACTGCTGATGATGAGTTGAAAATAAGTGTTTTACCAGAAATTCTGGGTACAGATCAAAATGAAAACAATTGTCAAAAGTGGAATTATCATTTAGTATGCAAATTTAAAAAAAAAGATTTTTCAAAATCTTGGGATCAGCAGCAGGAAGTGGCTGTTTGAGGCAGTTGTTTTTCCTTAATTTCTGAAACATTTTTGAATAACCTACCCATTTTCTGATAGTTCTCACTTATATTGGTTAGTCTTATTTATTTCTTCACAAATTTACCATTCAAAAACTTACTAACAAACAGTTTCATACTCAAATTTTATTATTTCCCAGCTTTTACAGTAATGTAGGTATATTTTAACTTATAGCAAAAAACTGGTCAGATATCAAAATAATAACTGATCATATATAATGCCTAAGATTAGTTCTTTCAAAACAGACTGCTTATTAATTGAAACTGAATTCATAATACTTTGAAGAATGTTTAAAAAATTTATTTTGGGTACAAGGATTCCTTGACAATACTCTGTCCACTATGTGAGTAAATACTGGAACTCTAATCCATCAAAGTGCTTATTTAACGCAAACCCTGTAAAAACGGTATACATATCTGACTTGTCCCTTAAATAATCAACAACTCAACCAATCTTGAGAAAAATACCTGTAAATGAAAACATACTGAAAGAATCTCAAAATATCTTACCAACAATATTCTGACTCAGGCAAATTATGCAGCTGGAAATAAATAAAACAGTTCTTGAAATACCCCCCATTTCAATTTTTGTATATAGTCACTAAAAACATGTAAATCTTGACCAAGTCACATATATTATTGAAAATAGTCTGCCATCAATTCACTTAAATCACTAATTATCCACACTAACGTTTGTCATAACTAAAAAACGAGTTTATTGAATGCAGTATCCCTGGCTGAATTAACAGATTTCAATAAACTGCTTTGAAACTTCACAAATTACTAATAACGCAGAAAATCGTAATTAACATTTACATTTTAACTTCTTTCATCTCATATGCGTCCACCATGTCAAGATCACAAAGCACACAACCTAACATATATGTTCTGTGGTCAGGATTTTGCGGATTTTCCGTGCGTTCCAATAAGTGTTCACAACGATCAAAATGCTCCTATTACCGTTTCACATAATGACCACGGTCGTTGTGGTTGCCTCAACACGTTACTCATGACGTCATTACCCTCGCTCACGGTAAGCTCAACAACGACCCATCTGAAAAGGTGGTTCGAAGTCACAGAACTCTAACTTAGAGTATATAACTATAACTTAGAGCGTAGTTCTGTGGCCGAAGTGAACGTTGAGGAATTTCGGCGCAATTTTTGAAATATGACATAAATCATCGTAATTCTTTTCTAATTTCTCAACTTATTCCATTATCCAATCTCATAAATAATCTACTTACACAACATGAAGTAAATTTAAGAGTAGCAAAAATTTAGAGAATAATCTAAGTACTGGTGATTCACTGTTTGGAACCTTTGGTGTAATAATGAATATTATAATCTATTATCTTTTATAATCTAAGTGTGCAATTAGACATGAAATTTTCAAAATTTACAGTGTAATATGGAATATAAAATAATGTACCTGAAATGACTTTTGAATTCTTCATCTGAATAAAGATAAAATACATTCTGCCTAAGTTTTCAATTTTGTTTAATGATTTATCCTTCTTTCTTGATATAAATTGAGTTAGCTTGCAATTTCTTGCACGTTATTCATGCGAGTACGGGAAATATATCGGTGTAAAACAACAAAATACCAATTTATAGATTACGAATTGTTGCATACCCTGAATGAAAAAAATATATTTAAGGAATCATAACAATGAAAACTGTGAATTAGCCATATACATATAACACAATGTTATATCATTTTATTCTCCGGTATATTTTTTCAGGTNATAACTGATCATATATAATGCCTAAGATTAGTTCTTTCAAAACAAACTGCTTATGAATTGAAACTGAATTCATAAAACTTTGAAGGAGAATGTTTTAAAAATTTATTTTGGGTACAAGGATTCCTTGACAATACTCTGTCCACTATGTGAGTAAATACTGGAACTCTAATACATCAAAGTGCTTATTTAACGCAAACCCTGTAAAAACGGTATACATATCTGACTTGTCCCTTAAATAATCAACAACTCAACCAATCTTGAGAAAAATACCTGTAAATGAAAACATACTGAAAGAATCTCAAAATATCTTACCAACAATATTCTGACTCAGGCAAATTATGCAGCTGGAAATAAATAAAACAGTTCTTGAAATACCCCCCATTTCAATTTTTGTATATAGTCACTAAAAACATGTAAATCTTGACCAAGTCACATATATTATTGAAAATAGTCTGCCATCAATTCACTTAAATCACTAATTATCCACACTAACGTTTGTCATAACTAAAAAACGAGTTTATTGAATGCAGTATCCCTGGCTGAATTAACAGATTTCAATAAACTGCTTTGAAACTTCACAAATTACTAATAACGCAGAAAATCGTAATTAACATTTACATTTTAACTTCTTTCATCTCATATGCGTCCACCATGTCAAGATCACAAAGCACACAACCTAACATATATGTTCTGTGGTCAGGATTTTGCGGATTTTCCGTGCGTTCCAATAAGTGTTCACAACGATCAAAATGCTCCTATTACCCTTTCACATAATGACCGCGGTCGTTGTGGTTGCCTCAACACGTTACTCATGACGTCATTACCCTCGCTCACGGTAAGCTCAACAACGACCCATCTGAAAAGGTGGTTCGAAGTCACAGAACTCTAACTTAGAGTATATAACTATAACTTAGAGCGTAGTTCTGTGGCCGAAGTGAACGTTGAGGAATTTCGGCGCAATTTTTGAAATATGACATAAATCATCGTAATTCTTTTCTAATTTCTCAACTTATTCCATTATCCAATCTCATAAATAATCTACTTACACAACATGAAGTAAATTTAAGAGTAGCAAAAATTTAGAGAATAATCTAAGTACTGGTGATTCACTGTTTGGAACCTTTGGTCTAGTAATGAATATTATAATCTATTATCTTTTATAATCTAAGTGTGCAATTAGACATGAAATTTTCAAAATTTACAATGCAATATGGGATAGAAAATCATGTACCTGAAATGACTTTTGAATTCTTCATCTGAATAAAGATAAAATACATTCTCATAATCAATAATGCGTGGTCTAAGTTTTCAGTTTTGTTTAATAATGTATCCTTCTTTCTTGATATAAATTGAGTTAGCTTGCAATTTCTTGCACGTTATTCATGCGAGTACGGGAAATATATCGGTGTAAAACAAGAAAATACCAATTTATAGATTACGAATTGTTGCATACTCTGAATGAAAAAAATATATTTAAGGAATCATAACAATGAAAACTGTGAATTAGCCATATACATATAACACAATGTTATATCATTTTATTCTCCCGCACTGTAAAATTATTTTTTTTGAGTAATGGAGTTTTTCTTGACAGAATGCGATATATATGATATCTAATAATCAATCAAAATCTGCACCTCTCATGTTGCTTGTTGGTAATATAGCTTTATAAAGGCGGAGTTTTTGAAATTTATGTCGAGTGTAGGTTTTGAGTTTGAACATTTCGAAGAAATAAATATTTTCTGTTCATAACATTAGTACAGATTTGGATAAAATATATTTTCTCGTCAGTTAAGCGACCAGAGACTCTGTCTACTAGAGCAGCTGCGCGTCAACGTTCTGAAAATAAATATGTTCGGATGTTCAGTTCATGGAATGACCACTGAATCACAGATTAGTGATTTGTACTTTTCAGGTCATCCAAATTGGAAAAAAAATCAGTGGTATAGAATTGTTCGGTATATATTTAGGTATTCTATGGAATATTTTGAAACATTCCGGTAAGATCATATCACTGAATATTTAGGGACAGAAGCAGTGCAAGAGATCGGTTTCGCACCAGTGCTTCAAGATCTGAAAAAGAAAACAGTTTAGAAGTTCCGTGGTGACCGTGGTAGTAAACGGACGTCCACAAAGAAGGTACACGGATACCATATGCTACCGTGGGGCTCCGTTTTGTGTTGTTTTAGTCCATTGTAGTAATTATTGAAATGTGTGAAAGTCTTCCAAAAAGTGAAGAATAAAGGGGCCCCTTCATTCACGCCGGGATGGTTCGGACAACCACGTAAAGGGAATCATATGTTGAAAAAAATCAAATCTACCGAGCCGGAGGCGACTCGATAAAAAATTAGTGGCAGCATTGCTTTGAGCAAGACCGCTGCGCTCCCCGACGGAGCTCCTGTCATTCGTAATAGGGGGAGTCTGGCTAAATGCGCCCGAGTGGAAAGCAACGATCACTAATTTAAGAGAAAGATATAAAACAGTAATATATAGATTATAGATATTAAGGTGGGAACTTCAAAGCATAAATGGAATTATAACATCACAATATAGGGAAATTTGCAAGCTTTAACAGTGTTATTACTTACTTAACTTTCGTACTAAAAATATGTACTTTTCGCAGGACAATTATTTATCAACAATGCCAAATTTACAAAACTTTTTTTTTTCAACATAACATCATAACAAAACATTTACACAATAATTTGATTAAGAAAAATAAAAGAAATAACTCAAAACTAATTCAACAGGCAATACTCTGGATCTTGAGACATATCTTTAATTTCTTACTTCATGAACATTTCAAAAAGTCCCGAATAGTTTTTCAGTAAACCCCCCTCGTAATAACAACGAGAACCCTCAAAATTTATTGAAATGCATTATAGGATTGCTGTAATGCCCCTCATATGTTATTTAAACTGAATTCCTTATCAGTTAGAGTTCTAGAGAACAAAATCAATTTCGGAACAATTTGTAGTTTAAAAAAATCTGTTTAAAATCTGTTTTTCCGTTAATCAGCTGTCGCATCCCTACGAACGACAACCCTCGGAAGTCGAAACTTGTGCGAACTAAGGATTAACGAGGTCTTACCTTTTAAAGTGTGATTCCTAACACGGGTTGGACGATAGCAAGTGAAGATCGATCGTTCAGACTAGGGCTTGAATCACCGACCAACACAGCAGTCAATTCGAGTGAGTGAACAAAGCACCCACGCCAAACCGCTTGGCTACCGACCGAGTAAGTAGTATAACTTTACAATTTGTCATTCTACACTTTATTTCTGAGTTGTATTTCATAACTTCAAAATCGTGTATTCTAGCAGAGGTTCAATGCACTAATGGTTTCAGAACTTTATATATACACTTACAAACAAGACTCAACCTTTAATGGAAGCAAGAAACTCTTTGGAAGGTTCAAAATAGATGAACATTCCAATTTAGCAGACCACTATTATAATATTCATGCAGTCATTGTTCACTGTGGTTCTGGCGTTGAATTTGGTCATTATTATGCCTTGGTCAAAGACGAAACGGACTGTTTTAAGTATGACGATAGTCGTGTCACGAAGTGTTCTGGCGATGCATTGAATTTATTGGAGCCTCTGGAGACACCCTACATTTTGTTTTATGAGAGGACATTGTTAGATCAAGATCTTCAGATGATGTGGTGCTGCAGGTTTTTTCCGGGTTTTCCTGCAGCTGAAAAAGCAAATGCACCACTGGAATCAATGAAGTCGCCCCGGAGCGCCAATTAATTTTCATTGTTGTTTTTATTTTATTTCTATCGTTGTTTTAAGACAACATATTAATAGACATGTATTAAGGAAAATAGTACACTTACTAAAATTAAAAAATTGAGTACATGTTCAAGAAGGTAGGGAGTCCTTTGGGAATATGAGAGAATAACTAATTTTTAAGACATTTGCATGATCCAATCATGTTTTTCATGTCTTCTTTTTATAATGAAGATGTCACCTGCTATTGACAGTTTCTGGAAACCAGTCATGAGTATTTTGACGAGAACCATTTGGAATTTCATTTTTGATGTGCCTTCGATAAGTAATAGTTAATTTTGAAAAACATATGTACTTTTAAATTTGTCACTCTTCAGAGTCGGACTGGCCATATAGTTAAACAACCGGGTCC